ATCATTGTTTAGATTGAATAATTATGTGATGTTCAAGAATGAGTTAATTTAACTTAAATAAATTTTCGAAGATTAAAAAAATTAATCGGATTCAGCTCATAATTGTTAGAGTTGATTACATGGGTTATTTCACTTAAATTTTAAACAAAATATTTTTTTTAATATTATAAAAACGAAACATTTACATTTACACAACGTTATGTTTTTATAATATTTTGCATATAGTTATCAAATTATTAAAGGATAATAATAAAGTAATTTTTAAAAAATAGACTTGTAAAGATTTGTGCTAGGTGTATAATATAACAAACAAATTATAAGTTGATTTATTTTTATTTAAATATAAATTATATAATGATGTATTTATATGAGTAGTGAAGTAAGTAAAAACTCTTTGGGTTGGTTCTGGAGTTTTAGTTGGTCCAAAACATAAAATATCTCAAATATATAGGAATTAAAACACTTGAATAAAAATGACTAATTTCGTCACGTTTTAAGTTCCCTACACAGTGTGGTTATTTGGTATGCACACAAAAGTTCACACGGTTTTGGTGATAAGGTGCATACCGTTAGAACGCTACCTACTTAAAACGGTGCGCACTACCTAATTTCATCTTATCGTTGTAAATCGTCAAACCTAATTTTAAGAGATCAGATAGCATAGTGATAACCTTTTTGTGTTCATGAATTAAAATATTGACATTGGTAAGTGAAATTTATTTCAGTAAATGGTTTCAAAATAGTAACAAATATATAGAATTATTTATTACTCAAAGAATTGTATTACTTTTCATTTTTTAACCTTTAATATACCACATTATGATCGGTAATAAGGTTTTAATTTAATCTTAATTAATGAGCATTGTTAATGTGCTAAATTAAATTGGTTGGTGTAAGTGACGGTATGCTTAATCGTGTTGTGGTGGTTAGGTACCGGAGAGTGTATAAAAGATGGTGGTAGGAAGTAAGTGATCACATGCATAAATATATATTCAACTATGGATGCAAAAATACCAACAACAACTAGTCCACTTATGCTAAAGTTAGGTATTTCTTTTTCGATAACTAAAATAATTGTAATTTGTCTATACAATAGGAAAATTTTATTTATTTTTAAATATTTCTAAAAACCAAAAAATAGATTATAATGATGAAGAAAAAAATTACTTAATTTTTTAATTTTTATTTATAGATGAGGTACCTCATCTAATTACTTAAAACTTTAATTCAATTTCAAGCACTTAATCAATTTGAATATTTCCAATTGACTTTCAATTAAATTTGTTTTGACTTAAGATTTTTATATTTTTTAACTGAGTTATTTTTGTTTAAGTTATTTATTAGGTGGGTAATATAGTTGTTATTTTACTTCCTCATTTTGCTTACTTGGTTTTATACATTAAAAAAAATATGAGGTTCTGATATTAATTTAAAGTGGTATTACATTTAATGTATAACTATAATTAAGTTACTTAATTATTTATTAAAAATATATTGGATATCAAAAAAATGATCATTGATGTTTTTTAACGGTGAAGACTACTGTTTTTTAACTATTTTAAAATTTTCAACTCTAAATCTTAAATTCTAAATAATATTGAGAAAGTTACCATGCCTATTTCCTTATTCAATGTATCTCAAAATTAAACAATAAAAAGTAACTTATTGCTTTACTTTAAAGGAAATACCAATACGACTTCACTTTTTTTAATACATTGAAACAAGTAGGCAAATAACAGTGTGAATGAAGAAATTAAAAAATTAAAAATTTAACTAAAAAATATTAAAAAAAAATTGAGTACTCAATATAATAAAATTTAACAATCTATTAAAAATACCCAAATTTAAGACAGATTTAAAACTTAATTATACTTTATATTTATATCTCCCTTATGATGGGATAAACTAGAAATTTATATTTATTGATATATTTGTAAAAGCTTAGTCACTAAACTATATATTTTCTAAAATGAAAAATACAAAAATTCAAATTAATTTCTACATTATTTTCATAAATTATGGCAATTTTATTAATTAACATCCTTTTACAATAATATCTTTAGTATATTCTTTACACATTTTTTAAGTAATGATAATCCATTCATATTAGTAGGGATGACAATTTTACCCGCGGACACGGGTATCCGCGGGTAAAATCTGCAGCGGGTAGTAACTATCCGCAGGTAACGGGTAGCGGGTATTTTAATACCCACTTCTAAGCGGGTCGGGTACGGGTAGTATACTATCCGCCCTGCGAGTACCCGCTACCCGCGAAAAATTAAAAAAAAAATAATTTATATATTTTTTAATTAAATTAATTAAAAATAAAATAAAATTATATTTTATTAGGTTAAATTTAATTAAAATTAAAATTTAATTTATATTATATTATATATATATATATATATATATTTTTTTTTTTTTTTTGTAATTTTATTTTAAATATGTATTTTTTAAACGGATACCCGACGGGTAGCGGGTACAATTTTATCCAGCGGGTTGGGTTGCGGGTAAACACTACTCGTGCCCGACCCGACCCATTGTCATCCCTATATATTAGGTAAAGAACCTAACCCTTCACTCTTGTGATTTATTATTTTGATTAATAGTGAAATACAAATAAAACAAAAGGTTGCAAACTTAGATTAGACATTAAAGGTGTGTTGTTTAGAGATGTAAGAGATATAGAAATGGCAACAATTATAATATAAAAATATTTTATATAAATTAGAAAATAAATTTAACACAAAAATTAAACTTTTATTAATTGCATTTATTAAGAATTTATGATAAGTTGAAAGGCTTATTAGAAATGAAAATGATAAATAATATATAAGTGTAAACTCATTTTATGTCAATTAAAAAATAAGTTTTTATATGAATCCCGTAAAAGAGAATATTCTACTATTTTCTTATGTCCTCTCTCTATTATAAATACTAAAACGTGGTATTTTTCTTTTGTTTGTGTAATTGGTGTGTCTATTTGCAATGTAAATAACTTTTACTTCTCCCATCACACATTATAAATACCAAATTTATTGATTAAATAAGTTTTCAAAAGTCATGCTTTAATATTAATTGATGTATAATGTATTAAACCGAATGGTTATCATGTGATGAATTGAACAGTCAATTAACACCAAATAATAATTAACTTAGAGTAAAGTAGGATTATTAGCAATTGAGTCGTGATTAGGCCATTATTAATTTAAGATTCACTCTAGAACTATAAATCCAGGTTTAAAATAAGGAGATAAATGATTGTATTTAATTGTGCACTAATTGGTATAACAACCAAACGGACTTTGATATATAATTAGACCCAATAGAGTAAAAGATGAAAGAACACAGAGACAAGAAATTGGACACACACAACTTATAAGACTTATAACCTCAATTCCAAACAAATAATAGTGTAATTTTTATATCAGAATAACATGTAAATTAAATATATTTTTTAATCTTGTAGTAGTTATTATTCATAGTTCCAGTATTTTACTTTGAAATAAATAAAGGGGTAAGTTTCCTAAAAATACTTTTTCCCTTTTCTTCAAGGGGAGGGAGGGTTGTTACAAAGGTATCTAAGAGACTAAAGACACTTCATGTGGGGAACCTGGACTTGATAAATTACAGAATGTAGACAAAAAGAACTAGTTTCCTCCAAAAGACTTCGAACCACTTTCGGTATGTTCGGCTTTATTTATTTATGGAAATATGTGTACTTTTTTAAATGACCAAGTACCAAAATAAGATGAGTGAAATACGTATTTTGAGTCAACATTCTCAGAATTACTAAAATTGTTTTATTAATAAGACCATCATGTTATGACTTAGGACTTCACCAACGCCCCCAAATGATATATAGCTTTAATTTATGCATAGTAATATATATTACATTAAATGCTGATAATTTCTTACTTTAAAAAATGTATTCCGTTCTCAGAACAAGATATAAATTAATATTATGTAGTGAGTAGAAAAATAAAATATTTATGTATGCTTATATTAAACCGACATTATGTCAAAATAGTTCATTCATTGTTTAATTCTTTTCCTGGAAAAAGATTAAAGTAGACCTATAATTATAAACTATAAAACATATCAGTTTTCTGGTTATGTTGTTATGGACTTATGAGCATCCTATGTTGCTTAGTGGTTGATTAAGCTTGCAATTTTTGTTTCATCACATATTTTAGCTGTTAATTGGCCAGGTTTTCGAGTTAATCTGTACTAAAAATTTTGAAAGCTCTCTCTGGCACAGAAGTTCACAGTAGATGAAAGAAAAACGAAGCCGACGAATGAATACATAGGAGAATTGAATGTGTTTGATCGCATCGTAAGCAAACCCTAGTGTGTACTGCTGAAAACATGTAGAAAGTTTATTAATTGCAGCAAAAGCATCTTTGATAATTAAAGAAAGACATGAATGAAAACATTCACATACATTATAATCTCTTTGATGAACCTAAAAATCACATCTATTCAAAGGTGGTCCTTGATTAGAGAAAAAGAAGGTTTGACAATTGAAGCATTAGTGAAGAGTCTATATCGTTAAAAAAAAGGAAAAATCCATTCATGACCACACCACATACTCATTATTCCACCACATAAAATTAATCAAAAGCAGACAAAAAGAAATCAACTTGGAATTAATAGGAAAGGAAAAGGAATTTGTAGACATTAAAAAATTAGAGGGAGTCCTAAAGGTTAAAACATCATTAAAGAAGAGAAATTGCAAGTATAGTCAAATTTGACACATTTTCTTCTAAAACTTTTTTTTTTCCTTTTTCATCGTTGATAAAGTAAGAAGCTAGCAGATAAAGCCACCCCACAACAGAACTAAAACATTCTTTCTTGCACTAAAGCGCAGCTGCAGACAAACAAGGTGAACTCTTTCTCTCTCTCATAATCTTCGTTGCTTTTCTTTGTCTTTTCTCTCTGAAGTATTCATGGCTACCGTTCACTCTGCAAACACGGTGGTTGGTTTTTTCTCTTGTCTTTTCCTTAATGCACGACTTTGAGCTGTTCATTTCGAGGTTTAGTTTGCTAAAAAGCTGACACGAACATGAGGTCTACTAGACCTAATATTTGTTTGAATCTTTGTTTTAAATTTGTTGCTATATCTGGGAGATGGTATTCATGACATAAGATGCAAAATCCACCGTGTACTATTGATCTCCTACGTTCTCCTTTTCTACCAAAAAAGGTTACGATCCGATCCTAAACATGAAAAGCGCTGCCACTGCTTTAACTTTTGCCCTTCTTTACCTTCTTCCTCGTGTGATAATTATTGTCAAATACATAGCAGGGCTTAAAAAGGATTACTAATTTGTTATTATTATTGATTCGTTAAGTTTACTCATTCCTCTCTTGTTTTGACTGCCTTAATAATTATCTCTCCAATATGTTTTTCTGTAATGAAATTACGATGTCGTGCTCTTGAAATTCTTTTTGTCTGTATGAATTATTGTCGGATAAGAACATGCGTACTCATAACCTCTTTTGAGTTTGTTAGGAGGTTGAGCCAGTGAGGAGACATGGAAGAAATAGGTCCCAATTCATGCGCAAGGCCATCGTCAGAGAAGAAAGCAAAACCACAAGAGCAATTGAATTGTCCAAGGTGCAGTTCAACGAACACAAAGTTCTGCTATTACAACAATTACAGCCTCACACAGCCAAGATATTTCTGCAAGACTTGTAGAAGGTATTGGACAGAAGGTGGTTCTCTCAGAAACGTCCCCGTTGGAGGTGGCTCCAGGAAGAACAAGAAGGCCACCTTATCAAAGGTTCCTGACTTGAATCCACCAGTCTCGGCTATTTCTTCCCAAAACCCTAAAATGCAAGGAGTCCATGATCTTAATTTGGCTTTTCCTGCAGCTATTGACAAGTATCATGGCATGTCCCCATATGCTGAGATGCCGAAACTTGAAATCGGTGGTGACAATACCAGTCACCACCATAGCCCTTCTTCTGCTCCAACTTCTCTTTCACCGACATATGGCATGTTGCCCAGGGGTTTGAATCCTTATGCTCCTAATTCCTTCATGCCAAACTCAGATTCACTTTACACACCGATCTATCCCATGCAAGAAATTAAACCAAACCTTAGCTTTTCAGTTGATGGGTTTGGAAATAGAGCACACGGGGTTCAAGAGAACGGTGGCGGCGGAAGGCTTTTGTTCCCTTTCGGAGACATCAAGCACCTTTCTGCAGGTGTTGAAGTTGAACACAATAAAGAACAAGGAAATAATCCAACTGGATACTGGACCGGAATCATCGGTGATGGGTCATCATGGTAATTAAGTAACGAAAGAACTATTGGGAGAACATGGATCAAACCTGCATTGTTTTCTTTATCTTCACTCTTTCCTTTTATCCTTTCTCACGTGAATCATTATGATCTATTTGTTTGAAGTTGTTCAGATCACTAACAATAGGATACATCTGGTTACTCTGTTCTGTATACATTACTACTACTACTACCACGTTTCTATGTGAGCAATGTGAGGATTTGTCTGCTCATCTTGGTTGTTTTTCCATTTAGAGAGAGGTAGATAGAAGAAGAGGTGAATATAGGGTCTAATTTTGTCCAGGTCATGCACTAGCCTGTATTCAGTATTCTTCTGTCAAGAGTAGATATATATCACCTTTATTGATGTATGCATGTTTCTTTCAAAGATTTGGTCGAAATGACTTTGGATGATTAAGGAAAGACTCAAATACTCAAGTTTGTAACCATAATTATACATGTATTTGATTGGTTGTGTTGTGATATATAGTTGTTTGTGTGATCTTTCCTATTTCTATATGTGTCTGCAAAAACTAGTGGGTTGTCAGCTTTGATATCTATATTATCACATCCGAGATTCTTCCAACTGTGAAAGCACTGGGTGGAATTATTTGGGAAGAATAATATCAAAGGAAAGCTGAAAAAGAAAGGAGTATTAATTTTAGGTGATTTGTAATGCAAGCTTGATCTGTAATTATGTATTTATTAGTTAAGCGCATGCATTTGAACAGCACGGGTCAACATATATTTAATAAACTAAGTTGTTGAAATGAACCTTGAAAACTTGACTACCTGCCCCAACCAAACACTAATTAATCAACGGAGAACCATTTGCTGGGTATTTTACATATTATATGGTTCATTCCATGAGTGACGGGTGATGATGTCCCGTGTAATCCATTACCTGAATTTAATTATATCGTGTATGTGAAATAGTGAAGAAAAGTAGAGTGTAGATTTTCTGTTGGGTGTTTTGGTGTAGAAGAGAATTCAAATTCAGAAAATTGTTTTGTTATTTCGTAGGTAGGACCCTCAAACATTCCCTTGCTTGGTTCGAGTGGAAATCATTTCATTCCGCTTGGTCAATGCCTTCACATGTCGACGACTAATTAACTATTATTTTTTGCCATCATCGCTCATGATTTTCACTTCCAGTAACTTCTATTGGCAGACAAACCAACTTTTCTAAACGTCTATGTCTCTCTCTTCTTCTCCTTTTGGGGTGTACCAATATATTTCAAAATCAAAATGTTCTTTCCTCACCGTTCAGTTTCTTCCCCTAAGTTCAACAACTCATAATACACCTTACAAGACAGAAGAAGAAAAAAAGTAGAACAAAGATTATTTTAATGATTTTCCCTATACACATGCTCACCAGAGTCCAAATGTTTAGAGAAATTCTTGAGTCATATCCCTATGAATCTCTTAACACATCATGATTAATTATTGTGTCAACTCAGAGTATTTACAAATAAAAAAAATGTATATTAAGTGTTGAAAATATTCAATGTATGTTGATTTCTAAAAGCTCTTTTTATGTTCATTTCTTACATGTGGTCATTATAATATCTGTTAAAACTCCGACTAAAATTAAACATTTTTGTAATATAAGAGGTTTCTAAAACCTCTGTTATGTTCATTTCTTACACGATGTTATTATAACTTTTGTTAATAAACTCATATTAAAATTAAATATTTTTGTAGTGTGCTTATCAATCTATTTGAAAATTAAAAATCGTATGATTTATTTTTAATACTTTTTAAGTGCAGTATATCTTTTTTAATATTTTGAAACGGAAAATATAAAATTAGATCCAAAAATAGAAAATACTTGCTAACAATATTTACTATTTGAAGAATAATTAATTGCTAAAGCATGCAACTACAAATCAATAGTTATAGTTAGTTTTACACAATTTCATAAAATTGAGCAAAAGGTCTTTATAAAAGTCAGAAAACGGTGTTGGTGTGAAGAACAGTAAACGTAAATAGCATAAAAGAAAGTAAAGTGATGAAGAACAGTGAAAGGTGGCAATCATGGATTAAGCTTATAATAGAAATAGTTTTAGCCGCAGGGAGTCATGCAAGTACAGGGAAAGGTAGACAGAAAACAAGGAACCTAACCTAACCTAACCGTCAAGAAAGTCACTTAATAGACAAAACTGTTTCTTATTTATTTTATAGCTGGCCAAATTTAGTTAAAACTAAAAGGCTGTTTTTTAATGCCCAAAATACAAATATGATTTTATAATCCTCATTAAACTCTAAAATAAAATGAAATAGAAAATGGAAATGTTATAATTAATCTCTTGACTCCCATTAAATATTACACAATGTTCTGAGCTACTTTAATAAATGATCTTTTCCTTTAATATATAATTACAAGTGAGATTTCCCTTCTTCAAAAAATAAAAATAAAAATAATAATAAATAATTATGGGGGATAAGATATATATACTAAAAAAAACATTTATGTATGTCAAAAATATATGATGTACAAGTAGTCAAGATGGAATGGGCTAGTTTTCATATTAACATTCAACTTTACAAGTCCTGGTTTTAATTTTTGAAAATGGTAAGCAGGTACGGGAAAGAATGGTAAAGTGGTGAAATTTGATGTCCAAGGTAATGAATAAATAATATTAAGGAATTTAAATAGTAGTTGAAAGTTGCATTAAATAAAAATAAAAAAGTTAAACAATATATTAAAAAAAATTCCATAAATATTAAATCTTTAAGGCCTTGTTCACTTCAATAGATTTGGAGAAAAGTGATTGAGGAAATTTGAGAGAATTTGAAAGTAAATTTTGTTGTTGTTTATTTGAGTGTATTTGGAGATAAGTGAGAGTGAATTTGAAAGTAAAGTTTGTGAGAATTAGTGTAGGATTTGATTGACGTGACAGATTAAAAAAATTTACTTCCAAATTCACTCTCATTTACCTCTCATTTACCTCTAAATTCACTCAAATAAACAACAAAAAAATTTACCTTCAAATCCTCTCAAATACCCTCAATCACTCTCCCCCAAATCCATTCAAGTGAACAAAGCCTAAGTGTCGAAGATTCTGGCAAGTTTAGTGAAAATTTTCTAAAGTGATTAATCTTTCTAGTATATCTTAGAAAAATTTTAACAACAATTACTTTATATTAACTCAGATGGTGATCGATCAAATTATAGCTCTTGAAGAAAATCCATTAAGTCAGTTTGAAACAAAGATTGGTCAAGTAAATTTCAATTAAATCCAAATGTCATTCGAATTAGTTTTATATAATATTTTCTTTCTTTCTTTCCTACTGTTATTATGCTATATGTAAAGAGAATTGATTTTTCTAATAATGACCTCTTTAGTATATATATATATATATATATATATATATATATATATTTCATTTTCACTTTTTTTCCTTATCTATATCTATATATAAAGAAAAGCCATAACTTTTGTGTACACATTTATTATTCTTATTTTACTTTTTATAATATAATTGTTTATTAATTTTTTTAACGTGTTTTTTTCATAAGACTATCTTAGAAGATTCTTTCTCTTTTTTTCCCAGTTCATTTCATAAATTTTTGTTCTTCATTAAATTTGTGCTCAAATTTAAGTAGTTCTTCCTATTTCATTATCTTTCTCTTATTTTATTGTGGATATATTCAGAAATACTGGAACAAACACACTATTAAGAGGAGTCAAGTCAATAACAAACTTGCAATAACATAATTCCCAATAATCATAAGCCAAAAACCAACTATTACACAATACCAAATGAACAGTGTGATATATATAATTCACCAGTTAGAATCATTCATCAATCTAAATCTCTCTCTCTCTCTCTCTCTCTCTCTCTCTCTCTCTCTATATATATATATATATATATATATATATATATATATATATATATATATATATATATAATAGTAAAATATCCCACAAATCAAATAAAAAACAAAAATTATGAATTTATTGAAAAATCTGAAATCATGATTTCTTAGAGGAAAAAAAATTAACATTCCAAAAACAAAAACAAAAATCAACTATAAATACCCTTGCTCAAGTCTCCTTCTTTCCTGACTGTATCTATTAACTTTATCGTACTAATGTCAATTTATCATAATTACTTTTTGTTAATTAAATTATAATATTTTTATTTCGTGACATTTTAAATGTGCTATTTTTAATGTTTATTTTCAATTGAAAAAATTTACCTTAACGTGTTAAGAGTTTTCAAAATATTAATGTATGGAGATTTTAGTTCACAATTAGAATTGAAAAAAAAAAGACTAAAATTTTGTACTTGGTTGATGGATGCAATAAACACATTATATGAATAAAATCATAAGAAAAAAAATATAATTAATTTAATTTGACAATTATGACTAGTTTTGGTGATTTTGTATAATCATTTATAATATAAAAACATAAATATAATTTTTTTTATATATTAAATTTATATTTTATAAAGTTGCAAACAACAAAGACAGAAAAAAAAATATTTAGAAGAAGTTATAAAGAAAGGAAAATCAACTTCATTCCAAGAAAGAGGTTGCATACATAACATTTTATCATTAGTAATAATATTTTGACACAGTGATTTTAGTTTAACACTGTCTTTCACTACCCTTTACTCTCTCTTTTTTTCTTTGAAAATATAAAAAAAATATTTTTTATGACTCCTTTATCCTTATCATATATGTTAAATAAATATAATGTGTGTCAAAATACTATTACTTCTTCATCACATACTTAAAAAATAATGCAATATCATATATCATAATAAATATTATATTTATATACATATGTCTTATCACTTAAAAAATAATATGTTTAACACTAACATAAGCATCAATGCACATGTAATATTTAATCCTACTTCATTATTATTAAATTCTTAATATTTATATTATTTTAAAAAATTATTTTTACTTCTTTAAATTTTGTATGAAGTGAATATTATTATAAAATTATAAATATTTTCCATCCAAAATATAATATATTATAGATATTTAAAAAAAATATAAATACATAGACATTGTTCGTGATAATATATATTATAAATATCTAAAAAAATGTGGATGCACATATTCGATAGGAATTATGTTTCTGCCAATATATATATATATATATATATATAAAGAAGATAATTTTTTTTGTGTACACTTTCATTTTTTATGTTTTATCCTTAATGATATAATTATGAATTTATTTGTTGAAAATTGTATAAAATTGAAACCTGCTTAAGTTTTACTCTTTATATATTTTTAATTTAGATTAAATTTTTTACTAAAAAATATTTATATTTTATTTGGTAATACTTTACTATTTGTTGTACTTCCACATTTGAATTTAATTTATTACAACAAATTATCT